TCCACACACCTTGAAACTGTTTGTCTTTCCTTCCATAAATTCCAATATCWCTAGAGCTTGCAATCCGTGGAATGACGAGCTAATAGGAACACAGATCTTGTTTGAATATCCCTCTAGCGTTTCCTTGTCGGCCCCAGAAGAAGAAACAGTGGCAAGACTTGCCTCATTCTCTAAGGTGGACCTAGGTGTAGCCGACAGTGATCCAGGAGAAGTACCAAGGGAGATACAAGCTCAGGATATTCAGGACAGGGACCCAGATATCAGCACTAATCGAAGCAAAGGTACAGAAGAGGAACAGAATTCAGATGCTATCCCAGTTTTACCTGTCAAGGACTCTCACTCAGTGGGTTCTGATTGAAGCAAGGTTTTGGACTTGTCAAATCAAGGAATCCCTACACTCTTGTCTCCTATTCCGTCTTTTACTCCTTTATTTCCTTCTAAGGAGGTATCTAATTTGTGTTTGGCTACCTGTGCAGGTCCTGCCAGAACCCCACCTGTTATGGAACTCTCAATCCAAAGTGCCACAGTCTTGGAGCCTGAGAACCTAAAGGTTGATAGGGTAGAGGAAGAGAGGACTAGAGTTGTATCTTTAATCCTAGAAGTTCTAGCTGACCCAACCTTGGGTTTGGAATGTGTTGATGTTAGCTTAAACCAGCCCTTTACCCAGACAAAGCCATCCTAGAATGAGACCCTGGAGGGAGCAAAGGAAGGAAGTCAGGAGGGAAGGATGGGCTAGAAGGAGCCAAGATAGCAGGTAAAAAGGTAGAAGGAAACAAAGGAAAAAGAATATGAGTGAGATCGAGAAGCTTAAGAGTGGAATAAATTATGAGGAGGAGAACAAGAGTATGAAGAAAAGAAGAGGGGAGTGAGGAGGAATACCAGCCTAGGGGTGTCACAAGTCTTTGCTATGAAGATAATAATAAGTTGGAATGTAAGAGGACTAGGAAGTTCCAAGAAGAGAAGGCTAATCAGAAATGTGTTCAGGAAAGAAAAACCAGATTTGATCATGATTCAAGAAACCAAATTATCAGAGCTGAATAGAAGGTGGATAAGGAGCATTTGGGGAGCCAGGGGTCTGAGCTGGTCATATGCACCCTCATGGGGAGCTTCAGGGGGATTTCCGACTATATGGAGGAATGAGGGAATGGAATGTTTGGAAGAATTGATAGGTCAGTATTCAGTCTCCCTAAAAATTAAAAGAAAGTCGGATGGAAGAGTATGGGCCTTAACAAATGTGTATGGTCCTAGCTCTTAAAGAGACAGAGAAGCTTTTTGGGAGGAATTATGTGCCATCAGGGGTTTGTGGGAGGGTCTGTGGTGTGTGGGGGGTGATTTTAATGTCATCAGATACTCTGGGGAGTCAAAAAACCCAAACCAGGGGTTCACTACTAGCATGAAGAAGTTCAATAGTCTAATCCTAGAATTGAGAGATCCCCCCTTGCTTCAGGTGGACTATACTTGGTCAAATTTTCAATTCCCATCAACCTGCTCCAAATTGGACAGGTTCCTCATATCTCTTGTTTGGGAAATAATGTGGGGGGTCTTTAATGGAAAGAGGGTTACCTAGAGTTACTTCAGACCACTGCCCTATTTGTATTGAGAAAGAAATCCCAGGGGGAGGCCTTTCTCCTTTCAGATTTGAGAATATGTGGTTTGAAGACCCTACATTTAAGACCAGGCTAAAGGAGTAGTGGGAGGAATTTAGATCTCTAGGGAGATTGAAAATGGTAGGTTTTGCTAGGAAACTAAAGAGGCTAAAAGAAAAAAAAAATAAAAGTTTGGAATAAAGCCCATTTTGGAAGTTAGAAGAAATAAAAGATAACTTGGTAAGGAGGATTGAGGAGCTAGATAGGAAAGAGGCTCTCAGAATTATTTTAGAAGAAGAAAGAGGGTAAAGATGGATCGAAAGCAAAAACTGGAAGAGATCTTACGAAAGGAGGAAATTTGTTGGAAACAGAAATCAAGGTGTCAGTGGCTCATAGAAGGGGATGGAAACACTAAGTTTTTTCACTCTTTGGCAAATGGAAGGAGAAAGAAGAACTTAATTCTCAGTGTGGAGGAGGAGGGATAGGTGGTAAGAGAAAGTTAGGAGATTACAAGGATTTTTATAAATCATTTTAAGGAAATTTTCTCAAGCCCACTTGGAGTGATGCTAGACTTGCTAGAGTTGGAAGGAGATGTTCTGTCAGAACTCAGAAGAGCAATCTCTCGATCTAGAAAGGAGATTTTCTTTGCAAGAAATCAAGGAAGCAATTTTTTCAATGGACAAGTCGAAAGCCCCTAGGCCAGATGGTTTCTCCATGGCATTCTATCAAGAGTGTTGGGATATGGTGAAATCAGACATCTTGGAAGTCTTTAACAAATTCTTCTCCAAAGGGGAGGTTTCACCAGGAGTAAATGCCACTTTTATCACTTTGATTCCAAAGAAGAGGGAGGCCAGAACTCCTAAAGACTTTAGACCATTAAGCCTCATCGGGAGTGTTCACAAAATTCTTTCAAAGATCTTATCAGAAAGACTAAAAAAGGTGTTACCCTTGATCATCTCTCCGTTCCAAGGCGCTTTTGTAGAAGGAAGGCAGTTATGGATCAAATCTTGGTGGCCAATGAATGTGTCGTGGAAAGAAGAAAGGGAAGAGAAAAGGGGATGGTTTGTAAAGTAGATTTAGAAAAAGCCCATGACCTGCTGGGAAGTTCTCCTAAAAATACTAGAAAGACTGGGATTTGGAGTTAGATGGAGGTCGTGGATTAAAGGATGCTTAAGTTCAGCTCATTGCTCAATCCTAATCAATGGTTCAACAAAGGACTTCTTTCTGACTAGGAGAGGAATTAGGCAAGGTGACCCCCTATCCCCTTTCTTGTTTACCCTAGTGGCAGAAGTGTTAAGTAGGATGGTGGTAAAAGCTGATGATCAAGGCTTTTTTAGAGGTTGGAGGGTAGGTAGAAATCAGGTGATTGTTACCCATCTCCAATTTGCAGACAATACCATCTTTTCCTATGAAGGTAACAATGAGGAAGTGGTGGAAAATTTGAGGGTGCTGCTGAATAATTATGTGGGAGTGACAGGGTTGAGGATAAATTGGACCAAAAGTGGAATTGTAGGGGTCAACTTGGAGGAAGGAGATCTAATAAGATTTGCTGAGATCTTGGGGTGTGAGATCAGAAGTTGGCCTATCAGTTACCTAGATCTACCTTTAGGAGGAAACCCTAGGTCAGTTGGGTTTTGGAAACCAGTTTTAGAAATGTTTTATAGGAAGTTAGCCCTGCGGAAGAGGAATTATATTTCTTTGGGTGGAAGAATAACCTTGATTAGAGACACACTGGTAAACCTCCCCACCTATTTCCTTTTAACCTTTAGAATCCCTTCTTGGGTAGCAAGGTGCTTAGAGAAGTATATGAGAGATTTCCTTTGGGATCCTGGAGAGGAAAGGAAAGACCATTTGATCAAGTGGGAGCAGGTTAGCAAACCCAAGGAACAAGGGGGTTTAGGAATTGGGAACATCCTATTAAAGAACACAGCTCTACTAGGTAAATGGCTTTGGAGGTATCCCTTTGAGAGCGACAGACTATGGCACAAAGTGATTGAGAGCATTCACTAAAGGCTGAACTTTTGGCATTACTACAAGGGTTAAAAGTTAGCCAAACAGTTAGGATACAGACATATTGAGGTGGAAGGGGACTCAAAAGTAGTAATTTCCTGGGCAGAAAACAGTAGCCATACCCCGTGGACGTTTGAACAAGTGATTAGGGAAGTGGAAAAGATTGCAAAGGAGGTTGAGGCTGAATTTAAATGGGTCCGTAGAAGTTTAAATGGGCTAGATGATGCTTTAGAAAAACAAGGGGCATTGAGACAACAACTATTTTCGGCTGCACTGTAATGAGGGATAAAATAGAGTGATTAACTGTCCCATCACCAAGTTGTGTAAACTGTTTACAATCTGAAATTTAATAAAATACATGTTTACTGATAAAAAAACATCTTGCAAACGGAATGCAACTCCAAATCAGCCCTGCTTTCTTGCTTCTACTGTACGTCTTCTTTCCTCTCTCAAGCCCCTAACATTCCAAGATAACAACCTCAACTTCAAAGTCAGACCCCAATCCCCCCCTCTACATTTCATGTTGCAATCTCCTTTTACTCTTCATCAACTATTCCTTCTTCCTTCTCCTTCCTCCCATGCTTCTCCCCCTTCTCCAATATTTTTCTTTTTATTATGTTCTTCCCTTTTGCTTCTCTCAAAATGTTCTATTGCCTTCCTCACTGCCCCTTTTCCTCCTAGGAAAAATAGGCCCAGAGCAGTGTTTTGAACGTGAAAGGGGCAATTTGTGCCCGAGGTGCGTGCCTTTTTGAAGCAAGGTGCAAAAATACAAAAAATGCCAAAACAACAAAAAAATGTAAGAAAATTAAAAAATGCCAAAAAAATAAAAAAACAGAATATGCCAAAAAATGCAAAGAAGTCAAAAAATATTAAGCATAATATTATTAAAAAAATATACTTAAATTTTAAAATAAATGTTTTAAAGACCCTATTATCTAAAATTAAAATACATAAACATACATGTAAAGCACATTCAAACATATAAAACATTTTCAAGCATGTAAAATCCACAATCTCTTTTTTTTTCCTCAATTGCATTACTTCAAATAGCTAATGTGATGTAAAACATCTTGCATTCTTGATTCTATGAGCCACCTTTGTACCAAGCCCCTCGAGGCAAGCCCAAACAAATCCATGTTAGGGTTTTAAATTTTTAATCCTTATACAAAATTAAATGATTTTATAATGTTGAATGTCTTTTAAGAAGATCTTTTACTAGGATGAATGAATGAACAACATTAGCAAGATAATTTCCTACATCAAAATTCCGTGTTCCTTCATCTTTAAAAAAGATGATGTCAATCAGAACTTCATAGAAAGAAATTACTGAAGCTGTTGGTATGATAGTTAGGATCCAACATATTTAAGGGCGTTGGTGTATCTTCTGATGTTCTGGAATTGCAGGTACAAGTTTGGTTTTTGTCCAAATGGCCCTGACTGCCGGTATAGGCATGCAAAGCAGCCTGGACCACCACCTCCTGTGGAAGAAGTATTTCAGAAAATTCAGCATCTAGGTTCATTCAATTATGGTTCCTCTAATAGGTTTTTCCAACAAAGGATTGGCAGTTATGTCCCACAATCAGAAAGGTCTCAGTTTCCACAAGGTTCTAGTAATGTTAATCAAGGCATAGCATCAAAGCCATCTACAGCTGCAGAATCTCCCAATGTACAGCAACAGCAGCAGCAATCACAGATTCAGCAACCTCAGCAACAACAGCAGGTCAACCAGACTCAGATGCAAAATCCTCAGAATGGTTTGCCCAATCAAGCCAGCAGAACTGCTACACCACTTCCTCAAGGATCATCTAGGTGTGTTCATGGTTCCTAGATTATACATGGGCCAATTCTTGTACTATCTGCCAAAACAATTCTTGTACTATTTTCTATGACATGGTTCAAAGAAGTCTTTGCTGATATATTTGTCTTCAATTAGTTTTGTGTAAGCTGTATTAAGTCATTATGGTCATTTCCATTTATAATATTGTACACTTGTACTTGCATATTTAATATGTCTGGATATTATTTTCCTTCCTTTCTGTTCCCAATTTTATAGAGCATTATTGTAGCTTTTGATAACGGCTTGGAGTGGCTGATCTGAATGGCTTATTACCTTTCTTTTTAGTGAATGTAAGTTGTTCAGGAGGTTGTGAGCTCCTTAATGACTGAATCTGAAGTTCTGTTGATTACTATGCCCTCATACTTTATAATGTAATAATTCACCACGAAAAGCCAAACATTTTTGTGATGTTTATTTTAGCAGTATAGACTTTAACCTGATCAATGCTCTCAAGTAATAAATGTTGGATAGCTATTGAGATCCTTTTCTCCAGATAAATAACAAAACTGAATATAAACTAAATATGAATGAATGTCTGGATTAGGATGAGGGTTTGGCTATTGTAGAATTTCTATGTGTAACTGCTTGCAAAGGAATTGATCAGTATGATTATGCTTGTTAAGGGATGACAGGGCAACATGCCCTTACTCTTATCGATCCTCACTGTTAAGGCATGCCTCAGACACATCAAGGCTCACAGCCTCACAGGCATTTTGTAGGGTGTGCCTCACCTGTCTTGTTGCTTTGTTTTGATGAATTAACCTTGACTCTTCTGCTGAGTTGATAATTTACTATATTACATAGGTAATATCTATGATACTTAGACTCTTAGAGTTTAAATAGTTTAATTCATGTAGGACTTGAACATACAAAGCTATAACTATTTTTGATAATTAAATAGTGCTCTAACCAAATGTTCTGATGAGCATTTTTAAATATTTTATTTCTTTCAGAATTTAGTTTTGCATAGTCTTGAATATTAAAACTGATAAAAAAACCTTGAATACTAAATGTTTCCTTAACTTCTTTTTTCAAAATTGGTGCTAACTTTGTTTAAGCATGTACTTACCTTGCACCTTAGTCTCTAGAAACCCCTTTGCTTGAATTGCACTTCCTGCTTTCAAAGCACCGTGGGGATCTTGTGTAGTAGTGACCTTTAACATTTTGTTGAAGCCTTAAGCAATGAAGCAGGATTAAAGAATGACCTAGAATTTCTTTGAGTAATAAGGCGAAAAGGAAGGGTGAAAGAGGATCCCTTGGCCTTACAGGCTTACACCCCTACAAGCTTGTGAAGAAATCCTTTTTCACTCCATTAACCAAAATAGAGAAGTAACTAGAGTTGACATAGCCATGGATCCATTTACACTACTTTTCTCCAAACCCATAGTTTCTCAAAACTTGTAAAAGGAATTGCCAAACCACCAAATCATAGGCCTTTTCTAGATCCAACTTACAAACAAAATATTTCTTAGATTTTGTCATTTCCTCCAGGCACTCATTATCTATTAGGATTTGGTCTGTAATTTGTCTCCCATATATGAAGGCCCCTTGGGATTTTATTCGAAGAGTAAAATTAAAAATTCCATTAAAAGTAATAAGAGAATGCAAAAGGAAGGTGATAAGATATCACTCGAGAGAAGAGAAGACTAATTGAAGTTCAACTTTCACAACTAAATCAGAAAACTCAGACAACTTCACAATTAATCACCTGTGACGCGAACAAAACGAGCCTAACCTAGTGGAAATAGGACCCTAATCTTCCCCTTCAAACACCTTCTCCTAACCATTAGCAAGGCCCCTTGGGATTTGCTTATTAAGGAGGAAGAGCTTTTATAATCCTTAAGGGCAGTACCTCAGCTAAAATTTTGTATATCCAAGCTAATTGGTCTAAAGTCCTTAGGGTGAAAAGCATCAATCTTCTTAGGGATTAAAGCTAGAATGGTAGCATTGACTCCTAGGCTTACTATGTGATTATCTACAAACTCTCTAAACACCTCACAAAGGCCATCTTTCAGAATCTCCCAATAATCTTGATAGAAGGCCATTGTAAAACCATTTGGGCCCGTCGCCTTAGACCTATCCATAAAAAACACTACCTTTTTAATCTCCTCCTCTTCAAAACTTCGTTTGAACCAGCATGCCTTTTCATCTCCCAAACTTGACCACTCCAACCCTTCCAAAGGTAACCTCTCATTCAAAGGTCTTCCATAAAAAAAATTGAAATGATTAGCAAAGGTTTTAGCTATTTCCTCTTGGTATGAAAATATCTCCCTTTCCAATTTTAATTTGTCTACAAAGTTCTTTCGTTGTCCATTTGCCAAGTCATGGAAAAATTTGGTGTTCCCATCACCTTCCTTAATCCACTGATGCCTTGATTTCTGCCTCCAAAAAATCTCCTCCCTTAGCAACACATCTTCCAGGTCTTTTTTCAATCGCCTCCTTTGCTCTCTATCTTGTTCATCCAACAACCCTTAGGATTCCTTCTTGCCTGGTTCTTTAATTTGAGTGATAAGGTTCAACTTTTGTTCCTCCAATCTTCTGAAATGATATCTATTCCACTCCTTCAATTTGAATGTTAGCCTCTGCAACTTCTTTTGGAATCTCACTCCCTTACATTTGACCCCCTTAACTCTTCAATGCACCACTCCTTCACTTTAACTACATGTTTTGAAATCTAAAGGGTCTAGGACCATTGGCAAAGGATTCTACACCTATCTTAATTGGACAATGATCAGATGTGACCCTAGGCAAAGCTCTAGAAACTAGTTTGCCCTAATGATTTTTTCAAGCTAAGTTGAAGAGGAACCTATCCAACTTTGAGCATAAAGGAAATTTCTAGGGGTTTGACCAAGTGAACCTATTATGCAATAGTGGGATTTCCTTTTAATTCACATTTAGGCTGATTTAACTATGGAGTCATTAAATTTTCTCATGCTTGTTATAATTGACTTTTGGGAGTTACTAGTTTCGTCTGAAAACCTTATTACATTAAATTCCCCTCCCACACACCACGAACCATCCCATACACCTTTAATTGCAAAGAACTCCTCCCACGTTTCATTTCTCTCTCTCTCTCTCTCTCTGTAGGAATTAGGGCCATAAAAATTAGTTAATACCCAAATAAAGCCATCCTTCACATTCTTGAATTTGATAGATGCAAAGAATCTCTCGTTAGTTCATCCACAGGTTCCACTACCTCATCCTTTCAAACCCACACAATTCCCACTGAAGCTCCCCAGGACGGAGCTGATGACTAACTTACGCCCTTGGATCTCCAAAAGCTTCTGATCGTCCTTGCATTGCTAAGACAATTTTGTTTCTTGTAGCATCACAATGTTAGGTTTTTCCTCCTAAGTAGGTCCTTTATTACCCTTCTCTTCCATGCACTCCCCAAACCTCATACATTCTGGCTTAAAAATTTTATCATTACTTGTCAAGATCCTTCTCTCACCCGTCTCCTCTTCTTACGTAGAAATTTCTTCTTGTCTCCTCTTCCACTATGCTCTACAACAAATCACAAGTATTAATGCATCCATGAAAAACTTYGTAGCAAAAACACTTAATTTTATGGGGATAAGGAAACACCACATTCCTTTCATAGGAAAGGAAGTAGAAGTAGTTGCTACAAAAAAAGTGAAAAAAGATTTGTAAGGAAAAATCAGTAGGATCAAGGGACCACGCGTGATCATCCCTTATGGAGTCATCAAAAGGTAAACTACCCAAAAGGCTCAACAAGTTAGACATAAAGGAGATTTTCGACTCTCTAAAGTTCCTTATTGAACCCAAATTCCAATTGGGCCCAAGAGAGGAAAGATGAAACTAGATGAACTCAAACGTAGGCTTTTCTTTAAGGTTGGAGAGAACAAACAAAGAATGGAACACATCTTTCAAAGGAGACTCCCCAATCCAAACATCTTCCCAAACTCCACTCCAATTACTAGAGGCCAAGTCATACCTGATATGATTAAGAAACAAAGGAAATATACCATGTATGTCTTTCCATGGTGCAACAAGGTTAGCTTTATGCAGAACACTAGTATCCAACCATTCTTTGATAGCCCATGATTACTAGTCACCAGTTTATGCCAACGCTTCTCATTTTCCAATGGGAAACACCAAAGCCACTTACCCAAGAGAGATATGTTCTTTTTGTTGAGATTGCCAATTCCCAACTCACTCTCCTCTTCCTTTTAGTCACTTTATTCCATCTCACCAAATGATATTTTTTCCCTTCCCCCAGATCTCATAGGAAATCCTTCATTAGCTTCTCAATTCTTTTCACAATTACCTAAGGCATCCTGAACACAAACATGTGATAGACAGGGAGTTTACCTAAAGTGGATTTAATCAGAGTTAACCTTCCTCCAAGGGAGATATAGTGCCTTTTCCAACCATCTAGTCTCCTCTCTATTCTTTCCACCACTGAAGTCCAAAAGCTAATAGATCTAGGGTTGTCACCTAGAGGTAACCCTAAGTATCTTATAGGACACTCCCCACGTTTACACTAGAAAGCCTTTGCCATTGATCTTAACTCTTGTTCTAGATTGACTCCTGCCAACTCACTCTTTTTCCAATTGACCTTTAAGTTGGACATTCTTTTTGAAATAGGTTCACCACCAATTTTAGATTTTCAAACCCAAGTGCTCCCTTATCACAAAAGATCAAAATATCATCTGCAAACTAAAGATGAGTTATTGTTACTACAGTCCAACCAACAATTGCAATCGATTAGCTTTAGAGATCAATCTACTAAGAACATCAGCCACCAGAGTAAAAAGAAAGGGGGGGAGCGGATCTCTTTGCCTAAGGCCTCTAATAGCCCGCAAAAAATCTTTCACCAATTCATCAACAATGATTGAAAAGTGGCATGTTTGTAAACACCCCTTGTTCCATTTACACCATAATTTTCCAAACTCACAACTTCTCAAAATGTTAATTAGAAACTCCCAATCCACAAGATCATAACCTTTCT